ATTCCTGCACCCTGCTGCACTAGTTCTAGCATCAGAGAAGTGTCCAAAATCCTGCTGTTTGGTGTGGAGAAGAGCCATGGGAAAAGAAAAGGGGCCTCTTGTCTCTGTAAAGAAGCAGATAAAACCAATATGAGAGCAGCTAAGGGCCATGGCTTGCTGTGAGCAGCACTGTGAGCATTGGCATAAATCAGAACACTGCTTGTCATGTGCTCGGTGTGTGATTGGCTGCACCCTGGGAACCCACGGAGCATGTATGTGCCAAGGGGCAGGTGTGAGTTCTGTTTACACTCTGCACCCCTGTTACTTGTTCTCAGTTCCCCCTGTAGAAGTTGATGAGGGAGCATTTTCCCAAAATAAATGGTTCCATTGCTTCTCACCCTGAAGTCCGTGTCTTAACCCACCACAGCTTGGATTCTTTTGATTTGGTAAGCTGTGTGCTCAGTGAACCAGACCCTGCTGCAAGCCCAAACTGCCTGGATCTTTTCAGCAACATTGTCCCAAAAAACAAAGTCTCTACCCCGCGTGCAAAGTCCAATCCATACACACAGAGACAAGCTACCAAGTTCATTACAATCCCGTGCAGGATTGGGTGCTAGCAGGCCCAAGCCAAGAAACTAGCTCACCACAGGGGGGAAAGGCAAGCTGGGCTGTCCATCACGTCCCACAGGCAGGCCCTGTGAGTCCCCATGGCGGCTCTTTGTCTGCAGATTTTGCAGTGCTGCTCTGTTGGAATCAGACACTACTCAGGATTATCAACACTGTTTTCAGCCCAAATCCAAAAAGCCCTGGGCAGGTTTTTATTTGTCCAGCTGTGCAGCTCCTGGAAAAGGTGGGAGCTGTGCCAGGGGCTGAACAGCCCCTCACCAGCAGCACCTGGGGAAGCCCAGTGGCTGCAGGAGGTGACCAGGCTGTGAGGGGACACGTTGCCACAGAACCCTGTGATGTCAAAAAAGGGCAGCGATGTGGCACTGGCGTGTCACCTGTGACATCAGGTGGCCAGGGTATAAGAGCCCAGTGGCCCCAGTGTGGGCCCCACTGACAGCCACTTGGGCTGAGCTCACCTTTGGGATAAGTCAGCTCCTTCCCTGGCTACTCGTGTGCCCTCAGGCCTGCAGCTCTGCAGCAGGTGCCAGCCCCACAGGGACACTCCTGGTGGCAGAAGCCAAACCTGTGCCATTTGCCTGGGGCATTTTCTTATCATTTCATTGAGCTACAATTCTTTGTGTGCAATCAGGCAACAGGACTGGCGCTGACCTACTCTTTCTGGAGCACATCCTGACAGCCTTGGTCATCTTGGTCATTAAGAGATTTCCCTTCTTTTCCTGAGACCAGCAACAGCCACAGTGCGGGAGACTCCTGTGAGTAGCGGCTTCCCCAGCAGGTCGGGGCTTAGTGAGTGCCCAGAGGCAAGGGCTGGGGCTGCAGCCCCGGGTGTTGATGTGCTGACAGCCCAGAGGGAATCCAGGGGCATACCTGACAGCAGTCAGACTTAGCCAGGGGGCTTGGATGAGATGCAGGAAAATGGACTGTGTCACTTCTCTGCCGCTATGGACGAGACTTTGAAAGATGACATTGCTGGTAGGAAGATCTGCCGTTAGTAGGGCGACCTTCTGTGCTCAGTGCTGGCTTGTTTTCCTCCAGTGACCATCAGGCCCGGTTTCCAAAAGTGCTGCAGGACCAGCCCATTGCAGTAGCAGTGGCAGGCTTCCCCTGGTGTTTCTAGCTTGGAGGTTCAAGCCGGTTGCCCTGGATGCTCCTTCAGAGCAAGAACTGGGCTTTTAAGAGATGCTTTTAGGCAAGCATATGGTCTCCTCTCTTTCCCAATGTTATTCCCTGCAGTCATCGCCACGCGAATGGCTCCACAAGGAAGCATGGACTGGCAGGAAAGACCAAGCGTTGGAGCAGGACTTGAGAACTTAGGCAACACCTGCTTCCTTAACGCAGTGCTGCAGTGTCTGACCTACACACCCCCTCTCACCATCTACCTGCTCTCTGGGGAGCACAGCCAGTACTGTGAGTACCTGTATGAACATCTCCTTGTAAACCTGTTGGGCGCTTCCCAGGGATTCCCAGCACGTGCAACTGGACATAGGAGAAGAGCAGCCCTTCTTTGTCAACCCACGACCCAGGCTGGTGTTCTTTGAAAACTCAAGCCTAGCAGCTGCTTGTCACGTCTGGGTGTGGTTTATCTCCAGAAAGGCACCTACCTCTTTCTACCCTGGTGCCTGGGTCTCCATTCCTGCAAGTTCAGCCCTCTTTGCTTATTGCAGAGGAAACTTCTGTCTGTTCAGCATCCCTGTGGAGAAAGTTTTCTATGCACTACGGAGTGCTGGGCTTGCTGGGACATTGGGCCCTTGGGAGAAGAGGAGTGGAGTCTGTTGTTACAACTTCCAGATCTCCACTAGGCTTCCCATCGCTGTGGCTTCCTTCCACCCTCCCTCCCTCTCCAGGTCTTCTGCCATCCTCCTGCGTGTTGTGCCACATGCAAAAGCATGTTGACTATGTGCTGCGTCCTGGAGTCACTTCCATCGTGCCTGTGGACATCATCAGCGTTCTCAGCTGTAAGTTGTTGCAGGTGCTTTGACAAGTTTTCTTCCCCTCTCGTAGGAGAGAACTACTCACTTCTTCTCTCTTAGACATAGGACAGAACCGTTTTAAGATGGACCGTCAGGAAGATGCGCACGAGTTCTTACGGTGCACCCTTGAAGCCATGCAGCTGGCTTGTCTGCCTGAGACCGGCAAGTAAGCACAAGCAAATGACCTCTGTCCCATGTGCCCCAGCCCTTTGGACTGTCAAGGGGCTCCCCCCAAAAAGGAAAACCTGGGCCCAGGGTTTTAAGAGAAAGCAGAACTCCTAGAGGAGATAACTCTCTGCCTTCCCATTTCTTTCCAGCTTGGACATCTCTTTTCAACCAAACACCATCCACCAGATATTTGGGGGCTTTCTGAGATCCAGAGGTACTTTTCCACAACTCTTGCTCTCCTTGGAACTCTCTGTGCCCTTCTGTCTGCCTGTGAGAAACAGCTGGTTGGGTGACCGGCGTTGGATGCATGAGGAGCGGGGCCGGCGCAGTCGCTTCACTTCTCCTGTCACTAAGCTCCCCCATTTGCTTTCCAGTCTTGTGCCTGAGCTGCGGAAGGGCTTCTGAGCGCTTTGAGCCCTTCCTGGATGTCCTTCTGGACATAAAGGTAAGAGGGCTTCTACTTGCGTTTCCTGATGTCCCAAGGCAGGTAGCAGGTAGCAGGTAGCAGGTAGCTTTCCAGCATAAAGGCAGCTGGCTGAAAAACGTATCCCAGGAACACAAGAGAGCTTGCTGGTGAGTGGGAAGTGTCACGGCCTGCGTCCTGTGGCAGAGCCCATGGCAGTGATCTCCCTGCAGGTGCTGGCTTTAAGCTGGACAAGCACGCATTGTCCCCTCTGCACCCTTGACATACTCTCCTCCTTCTTCCCTTTGCCCCCCTCCACACCCGTCTGGCTCTCAGGCTGATGAGCTAGGTTGTCTTCATTCTTGGTGACCCTGCACACCACTGGAAGCTGAACTGAGCAGTGCCACGGGGAGGGAGCTCTTGACAGCCCCAGGAGTCCCTGGGAAAGGAGGGAGGTGTGCAGCAGAATGCGCTCTTTCTGCCTCTTGCTAGGCACTGCTTGTGGGTTGACAGTGGGGTCTCCTCAGCCTCAGCCACCTGGGTCTTCTTGTCAGCTCCTGGGAAGTGGTTGGGTGAGAGCACTTCCCTCAGCTCTGCGCCCTCCTTTCTCCCTTCTCCAGGCAGCCGCATCTATCACTGAAGCGCTGGAGAACTTTGTGAAGCCCGAGCAGCTGGATGCCAGAAGCGGCTTCAGATGTCGCCTGTAAGATGATTCCTAAGCACGTCTTAGATACCAGACCCTGCCGTAAGGTTTTGCACATTTGAGAGCATCAGTTGGCCTTCATGGAGGGCAACTGCCCAGTGATGAGGCACAGCTTCATTTTTGTGCAGCCTTCTGGCAGCTGATGAGTCTGAAAGTAGCATAAAGATGGGGGGGAAGTGAAAGTTTGTCTGGCCTTCTTGGGGCAAGAGAAGGGAGCATTTCAAGGGCTCGTCTCAGCACTTGGCTCTGTGCTTGGTTTCCAGCTGTGGCCAGATAGCTGCCGCCACCAAGACCTCAACCATCCATTGGGCACCTGAGGTTCTCACACTGTGTCTGAAGAGGTTTGAAGATTCCACCGGCGTGAAGATCACCAAGGTATGTAGGCAGCTGGAGTGCAACATTCCCTACCAGGAGCAGGAGGTTTCCCAAAGCAGGACGCTTTCTCGCGGCTTGCTCCCGCTGAGTGCTTCCTGTTCCCTTCTGAGGAGAGGTTTCCCATGGAAGGACAAGCACTGACTCTGCTCCGACAGAGCTGCTTTGGCCGAGAGTAGTTTCCTGCCACCCAAACCCTGACATGGATGGAGCTTTATGGAAAAGCAAGTGTAGATCCAGCCCAGAGATGTTTTTCTACATCTTGGAAGGCTGCCTTATGAGCCATTCCTGGATGGCTTGTGAGCCCTCTTGGTCTCTCCATAGGTTGTGCATTATCCTTCATACTTGGATCTTGAGCCATACATGTCCCAGGCATCGGAAGAACCAGTCCTTTACAAGTTGTATGCTGTCCTGGTGCACAGAGGTCACACCTGTCACTCGGGACACTACTACTGCTACATAAAGGTAAAGAGCAGCTTCCTTCCTGACAAGGGAACAGTGTGCCCTGGGGAAGACAAGCTTTGCCGGCACTGTTCCTGGCAGCCAAGGCTTTGGGGGAGAAGGTTCTCTGGAGGGGCTGGATTGCATTTGTTTTGGCGTGCTCTTGGTTCTGTAGTTTCCTGCCTGTGTTTTTGTGGAGAAGCCACACAGTTCACCTCCCCGTATCGATGCCTCTTTTGCAGGCCCGAGATTCACTGTGGTACAAGATGGACGATTCGTCTGTGACACATTCTGACATCAACACAGCTCTCAGCCAGGAAGCCTATTTACTGTTTTACCTCAGGTAATAACCAGTGTTAAGATGTGCTCAGTATCTGTTTCCTCCTCCCAGTTCTGCTCTTTTTCTTCTCACCCCAGGGCACATTCCTCTTTCTGTCAGAGGAGACAATTCCTGTCCATGCTATTTAACGCTGTCAAACCCCAATTGCCCCACGCCAGTCCTTATCCTTCCTGGCTGGGCTTTAGGCTGCTGCCCTGCTGCCGGCTTCTACTTAGGAGGCTACCAAGGGTATCAAGAAGAGGTTGTGCTCCACCAACAGGGACAGACCTGGCAGGAAGACCCCAATGGAAGATGCTATTTGTAGCCTTGCTTCTATCTTTTCTCTGTCGTTGATACCGCTCCAAGAAAGTGACTGAAGCCCTGAGGGGGCTGCAAGAACAGCCCTAAACAGGGATTGCTCTCTTTCTCTCCAGGTGGTCTGATCAGCAATCTCTACAAACAACTTCTTCCCCCCTGGGACCACCATCTGACCAATCCAGTTTTGCACAAACCAGCACTGGCCAGCGATCCCAGCGTGGCACAGTCTTGGCACCAGCCACTACTGGCCAGCAATCCCAGCATGGCACAGTCTTGGCACCAGCCACTACTGGCCAACAATTCCAGCGT